GCAGGGGGAGGCAAGGGAAGGGCAGGGGAGTGCAGGGGGAGGACAGGGGGAGGCAGGGGGAGGCAGGGGGAGGCAGGGGGAGGGCAGGGGGAGGCAAGGGAAGGGCAGGGGAGTGCAGGGGGAGGGCAGAGGGAGGCAGGGGGAGGGCAGGGACAGGGCAGACAGTGCCAGGTCTGGGTTTTCGGTCACTCCGGCGCGCCCGTTTCCACAGCTCACGCCAAAGGGACCTGGCTAAGGGCTCTAACGTTCACTCTCTGTGACTTCAGAAGAAAACTCGGAGAATCCTTTCCAGTGGGGCCATCCGGGTGCGAGGGGACAGGAAGTCTCAGACCTGCCCCCTTTCTGGATAGACAATCAAGGAGCCGGGCCTGTGGACACTGTGTCCCAGGGCAGAGACGACCTAACTGTCCTTCCTTCCCGACAACAGAACTGCGTTGGGCACATGGGAGATTAGAGCTGGCTCCGCAAGGCCCTTCCCGGGACCGAGGAGCAGCCCGGAACCTTGTGGCCCAGAACCCTGCAGCCCCCACGGTCCAGGCAAGTTCCCACCCCCCAGGGGGGCCAGAGAGGGGCCTGTGTGACCCCACGGCCCAGCTTCCTGCTCCGAGGGACTCGGAGAGCAGGAAACATGCAGGCCAGTTGGTGTGAATGAGTCCAAACGACACTCGCCACTTTTAAATGACGTCGGAAGAGGCGCGGCATTCCCAAAAGCGGGGGAGCCTGAGCGGCGAGAAGGCGGGAGAGCGGAAACTGCCTCCTGCCCTGAGGGTCACGCTGGCCTCTCAGGCTTGTCTGACTCCTTGCCAGAGACTCAAGGCCAAGTTGAGACCTTCACAAACGAAAGACTCCATTCAGACAGCAGCCAGGAGCTCAAGGCCTGCTCTCAGCAAAGGGAGGAGCCCCACGGGCCCCAAGGACGCCATCAGGCAGCACAGCCCGGGGCCTGACACAGAACTCCGTGCCCCTCAGAGGGGCCCTGCTCGCGGCCCTCCCACTCCTGCTTCTGCACAAGGAGGCTGAGCGTCTACAGCGTGTTCCAAACGCTCAGGGCGGCTGCCAGAAAAAGTTCCAGAACGCACCCGCAGCCTGGACAGCGAGGAAATGAAAGGTATTCTAGGAAGTATCTTCCTAGAAGGTACTGTCCCTCTAGGGGGCTGTCCTAACGGGCTGCCCCAGTTCCCGGCCTCCCCACTCACCCCTTTCTTTACCCACGCCACCCCTACTTCAAGTGCAGATCCCTCAGCAACCTCCAACCCCGAGTGTCAAACAGAAATGCCGAGCGGCCCCCGCCCCCCGCCGCCCGCCCGGCGTGGTGTTGCAAGGGCAGAGGGGGGCCCGGGACGGCCCCTCACGGGTGGAAGCGCAGCGCCAGACGGGCCCCAGCAGGCTGGCAGGTGTCCACCAAAGGGTTTCTGAGCAAGCGTGCCCGGGTGTGGACCAGCGCTCCTAGGCCAGGCCCTGCCCCCGGGACGGGCACTCGGCAGCTAACAGGCCGGCGCTCCTGGGGACAAGGAGTGGGCGTGGCCCCGTACCAGTCTCACCAGCACGCTTGTGCGGAGCTGGGACTGGGGCCAGGAGGCTCTCCCAGTCCTTCCCCGGAGCCGGGCTGGCAGCTCCTCCTGGGGGACCCTGCTCGGCCCTCAGCTCTGAGGCTGCCGTGGACACGGAGCTCTCGGCCCACCGGCCCCCACGCGGGAGCCTGGCCGCATTCCCGCTGTCTCCTCCAGCTGTCCAACGTCTCCTCCAGATGGCCACCCGGCACCAGCGACCCCAACCCAACCGTCCCCAGAGCCGGGCCTTGGGCTGCGTTTGATTCCGTCCGCAGTGCCACCTACACAGAGGACAGTAAATCATTTGTCAGATAAATGAGGGTGTAAAGACCCCTGGGCATCAGAAGGCTTGACTTTACAACCCTCGTTCCCAAGCCACGTACCCACGCGTGTGGGTCACCCATCTGAAGACAGGCAGGGAGAAAACTGGCCAGACAGGCCCCCTGCAGGCCCCAGCCCGGGCCCGGAGCGGGCAGCAGGCTGACCAGGACCCGGGGAGGTCAGATGACGAGACCACGGCCACAGCGCCAAAGCAGCTGATGCTCATAACCGAGAGCTTGGAGGCACCAGCCAGAGGCCGCGGTCTGGGCTCAGGCGGCCTCACGGGGGCTTTGGCCACTGGAGGAGGCCGACTGGCGCACAGCTCTGTCTGTCTTCTGAAAGCAAGGTTTAGAAAAGTCTACACGAAGCAGCCTGCGCAGGGCGAGGAAGCAGGTAAGGAGGTAAGAAGCAGATGAGACTCGCCAGTGCGGCCAGTGAGCAGCCAACACCACAAACTCACAAACGTAACAGCAGCAAGACCCACCCGGTGCTCTAGCTCCCAACCGGCGGGACTCGCTGTCCAGCAGCTGCCTACGCACAGGTCACAGCAGAGGGGCAGCAGGTGACCCCACCAGAGTTCACCAAACCGTGGAACCAAACCATGAACTATCGCAGACTCCCGACTGGGCCCGCACGCACATCCCACCCCTGCCGCGGAGCGTTAGTGCGCCCCAGCCCTGCACCGTCTCCAGGCCTGGCCGAAGGCCGTCTGCCTGCATCCCTGCCCCCCACAGCTGCCCGACGCCCACAGTGCGCGCTGGGCTGCGGGCCGTTCACCTGTCACTGCCACTTCCTCAAGTGGCTCCGACAACAACAGCCGACAGCACGGCTCTCTCTGGGGAGGAGAGAAAGAGGTGCCCCTTGGGCACCGAGGTCAGAGCCGATGCTGGCAGCCTGGCGCCAATGCAGAGCCGACGAACTGGAAGGAAGCCAAGGTGGCACTGCCCAAAGCCGACGCGCGGGCCCTGCGGATGTGTGTATTCTATGTGGTCCCTGCGACCTGCACACACGTCCCCTTGCAGCCTCCTCTCTGCCGTGAGCACGCGAGCGGCCCGGCGCCTTGGCCACACGCTGGGGGCAGGGGGACTCTGGTCCGGAGCCCAAGGACTCTGCCGAGCTCCTGCCAACCCCCACGCCAGATGTCCACAGCGCAGAACGCACCCCAGCCTGGGGATGGCGGGAAATAAGGGGCCCACCAGTGGAGCCAAGTGGCCGTGGGAAGGGTCCAAATGAAAAGGAAGAAGAAAGCGCGGCCTCCTCATCCCTGCCCCAAATCAAAGGAAGACGCAACAAAAGGAAACGAAATTACAACCCAGAGCCTCGGGAAACAGAACTGCTAGGGAGAAGGTGACAGGCCCGCCACCAGCGCGAGCCCCGCCACCAGCCAGAGCCCCGTGACCGTCTGCCCCCGTGGCACTCAGGGTGCAGAAGCACGGAAGACCTCGGGCCGTGGCTCCGAGGGCAGGCGCGGGGAGCGCGGGAGAGGCAGACCACGAGCGAGCGTGCCCAGGGGCTAGGGACACGGGTCCCGCTGGCGTTTGGAAGGGGACAGTCTCCACAGGTATCTGCGTAAAGGGGGGCAGCGGCACGAGTGTCCCCTCGATGGTAAAGCGTGTGTTCCTAGAACAGGTCTTAAAAACCGCATTACATTTCATAATAAGGGAAAGGAGTGCTGCTCAAGGAACCCTGGAAGCATCAAGTGGATGAAAAGGAGTGAGAGTGAGCGCCCAGCGCCAGAATGCACGCTGCCCACGAGGGGCTCCGGGCCGCGCCGGGCACCGCGCCGGGCGCCGCCAGGAGCCCAGCCTCCTCACCCAGGCCGGCGTACGTCCTCCGCTTGCTCAGGCTGGCGGACTTCACCAGGAACATGCAGGACTGGTGCGTCATCCAGGAGCAGAAAGCCAGGAGCAGGGCCCCCAGGACAATGCCGCACTGGAGGGGGGAAAGAGACAGAGACGGTCACAGGATGGGGGCCTCCCCCGCCCCCCCACCTCGCTGATGCAACACCCTGGCTCTGCCTCACTTCTCTGCCCACGGGTGACAATTCCTAGCACGGAAGGGGGCAACTCCCCACATGTGGTGGCCACATGCGGTACGACCCTGAGTGCCACGGACGCCGTTTCCTCCGTGGCCTCTCTGAGTCTTCATGAACAGCGAGGTGCTGCCAACGAGCAGCCTCCCCAGCTCTGTGCGTCCCCCCGACGGGCGCCCACCTTCTAGCCACTCAGAGCAGCAGCTACGGGTGGTGAACACATTCCGGAAGGAAGAGATCAAAAACGACATTTACATCTTTCTTTTTTTTTTTTTTAATTTTTTTTTTAATTTTTTTTTAATGTTGTTTTTTTTTTTATTTATTTCTAGGAGACAGAGAGAGAGAGAGAGAGAGTGTGAGCAGGGGAGGGTCAGAGAGAGAGGGAGTCACAGACTGAAACAGGCTCCAGGCTCTGAGCTGGCAGTCAGCACAGAGCCCGACGCGGGGCTCGAACCCACGAACCGCGAGATCATGACCTAAGCGAAAGTCAGATGCTCAACCGACTAAGCCACCCAGGCGCCCCTATTTACATCTTTCTTAGGACTTTGAGAGACACCGTCTGACCAGCGACTGCACGCGTAGCTGCCCCCCCCCCCCCCCCCGGGAGAAGTGCCACGTGCTCCCTCAACACCTGTCCGCCGACGTGGGCCGCAGACCTACCCCTGTTCTAAAGCTCCAGAAACAGCTTCAGGGCAGGGACTACGAAACCTTGGGGAGCGGCTAAAGGGCTACATTTTTAAAAATAAACACGAGGTCACAACGCCCAAGTGGCTCCGTCAGTCGGGCGTCTGACTCTAGATTTTAGCTCAAGTTATGATCCCAGGGTCGTGAGATTGAGCCCCGAGTCGGGTTCCACACTGGGTGTGGGGCTGCTCAACATTCTCTTGCTCGCTCTCTCTCTCTCTCTCTCTCTCTCTCTCCCCCTCTCTCTCCCCCTCTCTTCTGCTCATGCTAATAAAAAAATCTTAAAAATAAATAAAATAAGCACAGGCTCTTGGGAATGTGTTTCGAGGTTGAGAGCAGGGGAAAACCTGAAGGCTGGTGCCCCTACAGGGCAGACCAGTCGAGAACCCCCTTGACTGTATTGTTTTTCATCCAGCCGTCTTTCCTCCCTGACTCCCAGGCTCTCCAGGCCAGTGAGGTACCGGGGTCCCTGCTACGAGTCAGGACCCCTGTAGAGAGAGCCCTCCTTTTGTACGAGAGCCCGAATGCTGCGGTGAGCAGACTTTTCTAAAATTTTCTTAGTTTCTAATGTCAATGGGGACTCGGTTCCGGGGGCTACACCTCGCCTGGGACTCCGGCAAGAGCTTTTGGGTGACGCTTAGATGCCATTTCCTTCCTGCTCCCTTTTTTCCTGTGTGATCTAAGTGCCTTACCCATACTTGCAGGGGGAAAAAATAAAAGAAGAAAAATAAAAGCTGAAGAAACAAGCGTCACACTGGCGTCTACCAGAGACAAACATACAACACATCCTACAATCTGGCAATTCTACCGAAAGAGAAACACCCAGAGAAACGCACGCCATCAGCAAAGCCCGTGCACAGGTGTCCACGGAGCTCCAGAGAGGGCGCCGCCGCCTGGCGCAGGGAAAGGAAGTGGCAGCACATCTGTGTAACAGACGACTGGGTGGACATTAAAATGCACACAGCGGGGCACCTGGGGGCTCAGTCGGTTAAGCGTCCGACTTCGGCTCAGGTCAAGATCTCACGGTTCGTGGGTTCGAGCCCCGCGTCGGGCTCTGTGCTGACAGCTCAGAGACTGGAGCTGCTTCAGATTCTGTGTCTCCCTCTCTCTCTGACCCTCCCCCACTCGTGCTCTATCTCTCTCTCTCTCAAAAAATTTAGTTAAACAAAAATTTTTTAATTTAAAATGCACGCAGCAGGATGATTCTGTCCATAAAGCCAGCATGCAGGCACCACGGATGTACAGCCCTGGAGGTGAAGGGCGGCCGCTGGCGGGGAGGACGGCGCCGGCGAGGCTGTGTCCCCTACGGGAGCTGTGTCCCTTGTGCGCTCGCTTCCTGACAACCCAGCACGAGTACTGAGTAGGTGCTTCTTGGTATGCGATGCTTCAGCAAAATGTCCATTTTTGTGAAAAGGACTGAAGTTACTACACCAACCAAACAAGAAAAACTCCAAACCAACTTTTTTAAACGGCACGGCTGTTGGACACTCAGCACTCCTGCTGCGCTCCGGCCGAGGGCCACCACAGGGGCGCCGCCGCATCCAGGCGACAGCAGCGTCCCAACTCCGCCAGGCCCCACGGTCGCATCCAGGCGACAGCAGCGTCCCAACTCCGCCAGGCCCCACGGTCACGTGCGTGCCTGTGCCCCCCCCAACCGCTCGGCTGCAGGCTCTTCCTGGCCAGGGAGTCTGCAGGCTGGTGGGCCCCGGGTGGGGGATGGAGCATCTCAGGGGCGCCTGGGGGGCTCTGCCGGTTAAGCGTCCAACTTCAGCTCAGGGCATGATCTCGCAGTTCGGGAGTTCAAGCCCCACATCAGGCTCCACGCTGACAGTGCAAAGCCTGCTTGGGATCCTCTCCCTCTCTGCCCCTCCCTCACTTGTTCTCTATTTTTCTTTCTGGACAAATAAACATTTTTTTTAAGAATTGAAATGCAGGGGCGCCTGGGTGGCTCAGTTGGTTAAGTGTCCAACTTTGGCTCAGGACATGAGCTCGCGGTTTGTGGGTTTGAGCCCCACGTCGGGCTCTGAGCTGACAGCTAGCTCAGAGCCTGGAGCCTGTTTCAGATTCTGTGTCTCCGTCTCTCTCTGACCCTCCCCTGCTCACACTGTCTCTCTCTCTCTCAGAAATAAATAAAAACATTAAAAAATAATAATAAAAAAAGAATTGAAATGCAGATTCAGGGGTGCCTGGCTGGCTCCAGTCAGTAGAGCGTGTGACTTTTAATCTCAGGGTCATGAGTTCAAACCCTACGTTAGGCATGAAGCCTACTTAAAACAAAAATTTCTTAGGGGCCTGGGGGGCTCAGCCAGTTAAGCGCCCAACTTCAGCTCAGGTTATAATCTCACAGTTCAAGTGGGGGGTTCAAGCCCCACGTCAGGCTCTGTGCTGACAGCTCAGAGCCTGGAGCCTGCTTCAGATTCTGCCTCCTTCTCTGCCCCTCCACCCCCACTTTGTCTCTTGTCTCTCAAAAATAAACAATATTTAAAAATAAGGGGCGCCTGGGTGGTTTAGTCGGTTAAGCATCTGACTTCGGCTCAGGTCATGATCTCAGTTTGTGAGTTTGAACCCTGGTTCAGGCTCTGTGCTGACAGCTCGGGGCCTGGAGCCTTCTTTGGATTCTGTGTCTCATCCTCCCTGTGCCCTTCCCCCACTTGTGCTCTGTCTCTGTCTCTCAAAAATCAATAAATGTAAAAAGAAAAATAATTAAAATTTTAAAAAATCTCCAGATTAAAAACATAACTGTGCTATTATCATCCAAAAGATGCTCAGCGTGAAAAATGCAAAGTGTCTGTTAATCTAAAATCAAACTACCGATGGTCACTTTCAGTTCCAAAATGTCCATTTTATTTTCATTTTTCTACCTATTTGGTTTCATCACTCAAGACTGGTGTGTGCCGCCTTGCCAGCCACCTGCCCTGCCCTCCCCCTTCCCCCCTCCGTCCTCCAGGAAGCAGTGGGGCAGGGGGAGCCGCAACTCCATCCACCAGGCACTGAGGCTGAGAAGTTCATTTTTAGGAAAGAAGTTGCCCAATTTGACAATTTCACCAACATTCCTCTTCTAAAGGACCAAACACCTATTTTTTTTGTGGATTTATATAAACAGAAGCTAAATGGATCCACATCTCAAAAATGGTGACTTTTTTCCATCCGGTCTTTAATGCCCGACACCTATTTTTAAATAGATTTCCGATCTTTTCAACCGAGGTAACATTTACATATCGTGACACCCACAATCTGGCAAATTCTGTAACCACCTTAGAACCAACACCCCAATCTAGTTCCAGCCTGAAGGACTTGACTTGTGCCCCCACCCCCCCAGTACAAATGCAGTCGGGTCAGAGTTTTTAAAAATGATCATAAACAGGGGGCGCCCGACTGGCTCGGTTGATCTCAGGGTCCTGAGTTCGAGCCCCACGTTGGGTGCAGAGATTACTTAAAAATAAAATCTTTAAAAAAATAATTATAATCCTAAAGAAAAATAGCACCGAATCCTGTGGCCACTTTCCCCGGGAAGGACCACGCCGCTCTCCTCTGGGGGCGGAGGTTACTGACTGCGAACTCTCGGGCCGAGGCTGAAACTCCGCCACCGCGCGCCGTTTACGGAGGGAAGCCTCCGGGGCCTCTCCCGCACATCCACCGGCCCTGGCTCCCGCGCCCCGTGAGCGGCGGACCCTGGGCCGGGCGAGCTCGCGGCGGCGAGGGGCGACCCCTGCCCCGCTGGACTCACCTGTTTGAAGCAGAAGGGCATGGTGAGCACACTGACCCCTACTATGCTGTTCACTATGTTCGTGATCAGCCCCCAGTTGGAGGCGGCGGCCGCGGTCATAGTGCGGTGTCTAGGGCCCGGGAGCCCGGGTCCCAGGCGCTGGACGACCGCAGGATGCGAGACCCTGAGGGGGACGGGCGGCTGCCTGGAGGCGGCGGCCTCGCGGGAAGGCGGCTTGGACAGTCAACCTCCAGACCTCACCAGGCTTTCCGGCTGCCTCATGGCATCGCCCCCCACCCCTCGCTCTCGCTAACCGCCTCCGAGTCCCCACAGCCACACGCGGAAGAGTAGCCAGGGACTAGCCAGGGACACCTCAGCCCGACTGCACTGCCACCTCTGCGCGAACACTTCCGCCTTCCACAGGCTCCTTCCCCCGGAAGTGACGGCACGGGGGCGGGGCTCTGCGAGACGAACACCAATGAGAGGCGGTCTTGGAAGGGCAGGCGGGGTCTTGAGGAGCTGGCGAGAGGAAGGAATCGACGTAGCCTGGTGGGGCGGGCCTCGGAGGATCGCGAGCCAATGAGAAGCCGGTGCGGGCTTCCGGGGCGGGGCCCGAGACCTGCGGAGGGCAGGCTCCAGGCGGGTGTGCCGGGCTCTGGGGTCCTGCGTCTGTCCCGAGCCTCAGGATGCTTTTCCCGCGGATGTGGTCTCTCGAGCCTCGCCATGCAAGGGGGTGGAGGACAAGGTCAGTGGCGGCCAAGAGACAGAGGGCAGCGCGACGCCTTTCGGAGAAGAGCGGAACTTGCGGGGGTTCTGTTCCAGTGATTACGCTTTGGGACGGATTTCGGGGCGTGTGCTGGGTACCCTGGCCACAGGGACCAGGGCTTAACCGTTGAAGCTGGACACTGACCCTCTGGAGGAGCTCGCACCTCCGTTTCACGAGGGACCGCAGAGGCACACAGCTCCTAGGAGAGGGCGCGGGGGTCTGCGTCCTGGGCCTGCGCCGTTTAGAACTGCACGCGGTCAGTGCGAAGAGAATCTAACGTTCTAAAGGAGCAGAGGAAATGCTGCGAGAGGAAGGAGAGGCAGAGGCCAGTAGGACCAGTGAAATCTAGGCGGGCTTCAAGAAGGAAGTGGCCTCTAGGCTGGGCCTTGAGGGACACCTGGGAACGGAAGACTAAGGGAGAGAAGGCAGAAAGGCCCCATACATCTCTGAATTCCTGGCACCTGGCGATGCTCACCATGTGTCTGCTGGCTGAATGCATAGACAGCAGGCCTGGGAAGGGCCTTCTCAGGAGGAAGCAAGTAATGCCAAGCAGGGTGGAGCTGTGCACAGGGAGAATTGCCAGCTGCTGGGAGAGGGCGTAAGGCAACCACGTTTGCGGACACACCAAGGACCTTCTGTCCTAGAGCAGAAGCTGATTCCTCAGCTGCACGCAGGGCACCACTAGATAAGGCTCTCGCCCCGCCAGCCCCTGCCCCAGGCACGAGGGGAAGAAGAGGGAATACTGGGTAAAGAGTACTTAAATTCAAAGCCAGAACAGTAAGGGCCATTCATTCTTCTTTATAGAAATCATGCATCCATTCTATAACCTTTTTATTATTTATGTAATTTTTATGAAATGTTAGCATGCAAGATAGGATATGAAAGAAACTCAAATGTGTGTTTTCACAGGGAATAACAAACACTCATGACCCCACCGTTCAGCTTCAAGACAGAATATTAACTTAGATACCCTCTTTGGCCCCTCCACAAGTCTACCTTCCTGTCCACTTCACAGCTGTCCTGGGATCATCACTAGCCAGATTTTATCGCTTCCTTACTTTTCCTTTTCTTCAATCGGCGCAGAGCCCAAGGCAGGGCTTGAACTCACCATCCCGAGATCAAGATCTGAGCTGAGATCAAGAATCAGATGCTTACCTGACTGAGGCACCCAGGCACCCCCTCATTACTTCCCTTTAAAGGTTTACCACATATGGATATATCCCTAAACAGTTATGGGGAAGGTTACTATCTGTCTCTTAATGTTCATTTATTCTGTCTCCCAAAGTTTGCCAGCACATACGGCTGCCTAGGACAAAGGTGGCACTTCCCAGCCTCCCTTGTGTCTAGCGGTGCTGCACCCTACTGCTTGTAACGTAGAGGTCATGGGCAGAAGCCGTCTCGGGCCATGCGGACCGTGGCAGGGGTGGAAGGGCCGGCTGCAAGGAGCCTGGATCCCTGGACAACGTGGGACAGCATAGCCCCCCTCCCAGCCCCTGACTGCCTCCCCCGCACTGCTCCACGAAAGAGAGATAACCACCCACTTTGAGCCGTTGCTACTTTGGACTCTGTTGCATGAGGCCAAAGTTATAGCCTAACTAATTCAGTAGTGTACTGGGGTAGAGCATTTTGGCCCTTTTGATTGTTATACTAGTGGATTTACATGTATGTATTCTTCTGCAACTTCCTTTTTCACTCAACCCTTGGCAAGATTCACCATCATACTGCTACTCTGAGTCATTCATTCTCGCTGCTCTATGGAATTCTACTGTTCAGATAGCCCAGAATACATGTGTTTATGCTCCTGCTGAGGGTACCTGAGTTGTTTCCAGTTATTCACCATTGCAAACAGTGATACAGTGAACATCAAGGTACCTATCTCTTTAGTTTCTGTAGAGTAGATACCTACAAGTGGAATTGTAGATTCAAGAGTACGCATGCCTTCGATGTTCCTAGATATGGCCTAACTGCTCTTCAGAGCAGTTATAAGAGTTCTTGCTAGTTTACATCAGAGGCTGGAAAACTTTTTCTGTAAAGAGTCAAACAGCAAATGATGTTTTCTGCTTTGCAAGCCATATGGACTGTATCACAACTGTTCAGTTCTGCTCTTGTAGCTCAAAAGCAGCCCTAGACAAGGCATAAACAGATGAGTGTGTCTGTGTTCCAATAAAACTTTATTGACAAAAGTTGTTGGCTAGCCCAATTTGGCCTGAGGGCTGTACATTGTGGTTCCCTCGTCTAAATTGTCACCATCATTTGCTATCATCAATGTGGTCAATTTGGTGACTAAAATGAAATCTTACTGTGGTTTTAACTTGTTCTCCTTAACTGTAGGTTAATCACCTACTCATATTTTTATTGTCCATTCGTATTTCTTCTGTGGAAACCTGTTCATTTTAACCCTTTTTTCTAATTTGCTTATGAATTTTGAGGAATTCTTTCTACATGCTTGATAACTAACCCTATGTTCCTCATACTGGGTTTGCTGTCTCCTCATTGTATTAGTTCTTCTTTGCTGTTGTAGCAAATCGCTGCAAAGCTATCAGCTTACCCAACACAAATGCCTTATCTTATGGTTCTGTAGGTCAGAAGTCCAGTATGGATCTCAGCAATTGAAGTCAAGGCCCAGGCAGGCCACCTCCTTTCTGGAAGCCCTAGGGGAGAAGCAGTTTCCTGCTCCTGAATTCCCACAGGATTCACTTCCTTAGAGGGGTAGGCCCAATGCTGGCTGTAAACGGAGGGCCGTCCCCGGGTTCTGGAGGCCACCTCAGGGTCTCCTTCCTTCATTTCAGAGCTTCAATGGAGGGAGGCATTTACTTCCCTCAATGTGCATTTCTCAGACCCAGCCAGAAGTTTTCCAATGTTAAGGAGTCATGTGATTAGATTGAGCTCATCGGATAACCCAGGATAATTTTCCCGTCTCAAGGGCTATCACCCTGGTCACTTTCTACCAAGTCCCTTTGGCCACATGCAGAAACATTCACAAGTTCCAGGGGGTTAAGGGGCGCACATCTCTGGGGAGGGCATTCTGCCTACTACACTCATTTTGAGATTTAAGTTACATCTCTTTGGCAGGAATATCACAGAGGCACTGCCATGTTTTCACTGAATCCTAGCAAGTGCTGCAAGAGCTTGCTCTGTCCAATCATGGACGATGCTCTCTTTGATGGCTGGATTAGGTAGGCTTCTCCACAGTAAAGTTATCTCTTTCTCATTTGTAATTAATGAGTGTTTTGGGGGCAGGTAATTTGAAACTAACTATCCTGGTCCCTATCAGACTTCCAGTTTATCAATTTACCGATATCAGTGCAGACTCATAGTTTCCTGTTTTGTTCAGTGGGTTATAATCCATTACTATCACTGGTTTTTTTCGATGCTCTAGTTGATCCCAGATTTGCCCCGGCCCTTGGTGTGTCCTGGTCATAATCTGAAGACCTTTGCTTTCCTGCTCAATAAGATGCCCCCAGCTCATCTCGTCCTTTTCCTGCAATTAGTCATTTCTCCAAGGATCTCCGATTCTTTCCAATGGAGAATGGTAATAGAAGCAAGGATCTGGGCCCTGGGTGTGCGCACCGCCACGGGCTGTCCCCGCCCCGGGCCACTCAGTGACAGAGCCGGGAGGTCTGTGCGTGTACACCACACACTCACATCCGGGCTTCTGTGGTCCAGGGCCGTGGTGTTCGTTCTAGAAGTCCCCTTCTGCATTGGCAACTCCCTGGCTAACGCACAACCACCTCACATGGGCTCCGATCCCCTGCCCTGGGCGGCCCCACCCCCGCCTGGATCCTCTCCCCATCCACGTCAGTGCTGGGGGGCCTCCCCACCCCCCAGTCCCTGCTGGCACAGACACTCAGCTCACCCTGCCCCACCTAAGGGTTAGGACTGAAGTGTAAGTCCGTGGCCATTTCTGACCCTGCGCCCCCTCCACACCCACCTCCCACACGTGAGATCAATCACCAGAACTGTCCCACGGGAGACATCTGTGGCTTCTCGAGCACAAAGGCTGTGTGATCCCAGGCACATTCACGAACCTCTCGGAGCCTGCTCTGGGGCACCCCCACTGACGTGGCAGCTTGAAGGCCAGCAGCGTTCTGTTAGGTTGCTAGAAACGACAGCTGTGGGCACCATCTAGGGAAGGAGGGTGTGGGTCCCGGCTCCGCTTTTGACGGAGGAGGGGTGCTGCCCCCTGTCTGTGGTGAGGCCAGGGGTGAGTCTCCCTCCCACCCTTCCCCTCCAGATCCCCAGGCCCGGACCCTCCCCGAAGAAATGCAGTTCCACGTGGGAACTGTGGCCACTTCTGAGAAGGGCTCTGGGAGAGCCGGCGGCAGGCAGAGCCCGGGGCCGGGAGCAGGGTCAG